CAGAGAACAGCTCCGCCTCGTTCAACGTTAACCCTTTCATCTTATACCCCAAAATGTAGTAAACGATCAAAAATAAACAATTTAATAAAATGTCAGCTTTGCGCCAAAATAATGTTTTTCCCCCATCAGCTTTATAATAACCATTATAATTTCATTAGTAGCTCTTACCAATAATTAATCAATAGAGTAGATGAGATATTCCTACATGACGGCTTTCTTTTCAATCCCGTCTTGTTGCATTTTAACTTCTGTCACTTACCGTATTGCTGCATAACACTTACCTTACTAGCTAGACTGCTGGAGTTAAGACGTGGTAAAATGAATAACTTGATATTTTAATGCATTTACAGGGGACATTACAAATGAATAAGTAAGAATAAGTAAGACTGTAACTTGTAGTGATGACCTATTTCGATGCATTTGTGAACTGCAAATTTCAAAAGCCAACTATTTAGCCACGCGATATGTATAGGCTACAATAATGGTATCCAACAGAAATAGGTTTTTGATCACACTTCTCAGATTAATTTGTATTGCTAACTTACTGCATTTTCAAAATCAGAATTAGGCCCACATATAACTTACAAACTAAACTATGCCTACAGAGCAGCCTATTCAGGACCTCACCCACCTTTACGCGGCCGATCCATTTTCCCGTAATAGTGATAAGAAGCAAGAGGGACAAGTTGGTCAGTTAAGACAAGATGAACCTGAGTAAACTTACAAATTTTAAGTTAAGTGAAATCTTTTTAATTATCTAAATTGTATACATAGTTCTCTGTGTTCCGAGGTACATCAGTGTTTATATGTGAAGTTACAGTAAAGTTACAGAAAGGTTACAGAAAGTACAAACTGCATCCATCAGATGCGTGCATGCCTTTGTTTGAGGGCAGCTCAGCGCCTTTGTTTCAGGGCAGCTTAGTGCCTTTCGCAGCAGTTAATCCCTGAAGCTTCTCTGGTAGTGGGAAGGTAATTGAACATAGCATGCTAGGTACTTTCTGTAACCTTTCTTCAAGATACAAATACAAATACAATAGCAATACAAATTAATCTGAAAAGTGTGATCAAAAACCTATTTTTGTTCAATACCAGTATTGTAGCCTACATATCGCGTGGTTAAATAGCAGGCTTTTGAAATTTGCAGTTGTAGGGTTATGAAGCTTACAAATGCATCAAAATATAGCTCATCGCTACAAGTTACAGAGAATTGTGAAAAAACAGAGAGATTAACTGGTATTATGTGGACCGGACACTGCAGCCTATTTAATGGTTGTATACAGGGGCGGATTAACGCACAGGCTAGATATGGCTTAAGCCTAGGGGCCCCACATGTGCCAGCCTGCAAGGGGGCCCCCATTGGTGCGGAGGGGGGCCCCCTTTATTGAACCTTTACCCACTTATTCTGTACTGTGAGGAAAAAAGGCTACAAACCTGGCACAGTTTTGTTCCCCAAGGTATATAAACAACATGGATACCCCAAAGGTACAAAAATGTTCATCAGAGTCCATTTCTGTACCTTACATTAGACTAAAAGGTATATTTACTACATCTAGGGTACAATTGGAACATCGATGAGGTACAGCCCCAGTGACAAGTAACTGTACCCCAAATGGTGACGGTGTAGTTAAATTGTCCGAGGTAAAATAAGTCTAGCACCGAACAGCAAATTAACGATTTTATGCAATATATTAACGAAATATATAGGTATACGTATTAATTCATCTTAATGCCAACTGGAAAAAAAACGCAGAACATTAACACGTCTTTCAAGTAAGGCGAGGGGTGTATTTTTCTCGTTTACGACGAAGTAGCGTTTTCGCAATCATGCTTTTACACATTTTAGCCAGTAGACGGTGCCATATGAAAACCATTCGCTTCTTATTTTCATGTAACACGTAATACACAACACGCTTTGTTTCGATTATTTTTAGATATGTAAGCCATAAGGCGTTAAAACTGGTCAGAGAAGTATATAATTGAACATGAGTGTAACTACTAAAATTAAGGGAGTGAATTGAGGTTTCTTATCGGGTTAAGCTACTGCCATACAGGTTGTGGGTTTTCACGTTTTTATCATGTGGTTATTAGCCTACTTTTGATGTGATGGGCAGCAGCCCCTTTCAAGTGATTCACACGATTGACTTCTGATCTCTGTGACCCAGAGCCAGTAATTAGTTATAAAAAAACTGACCTATGGAAAGGTATCGTAAAAATTTTGACTTTTTAAATTCTTTCAAAATTAAAAACAAATTGTGGAGCACGGGTTTGAGGGTTGTTCTAGTCAGAGGTCGAAGATGAAGTAGAATTTAGACAAACGTGAATTTTTTTAATGAACAGAAGCAGCAGTAGGGAATCGGCAACAGGAATCTTGGAAGCAAACTTCAAAAAAGATTAAAAGAAACTGGAAGACAACCAGACATGGGAAATACAGCTGTTTGCTAAAATCCCAGATCTCCATTTTGTACCAATAGGAATTTCAATAATTAAGAAAATGTAATTATACAAATTCAAATTTTACATATGTAATAGTGTCTCAAATATCAGGTAATCTATTTTTGTAATGAACAGTTAGCCAGTTAGGGTAACACATAGTGCTTGTTTTATTTACGCATGTCTGGGGAATTCCAAGCCATGTAAAGTGGAAGTGGAAGGTTTCCCTTATAATTTCAGCGAAAACTGTAAATGGTGGAATAAGGCATCTGTGGATTTTGAAGATACACTTTAACAGACAATTTCAAAACCTTTTCTTCCCTTAAGTAATGTTCGGTTTACACAGTCGGTCTCTACACAGCAGATCTTTGGTGAAACTTCCGTCATTGTGCTGAACTTCAGTCAACCCTGAACTCAAATGTTTATCAAAAGCTTACCGAAGCAGAAAAGGCAAGGTTTTAATTACAAGACATAGATTTTAGTTTAATCTAAGCAGAATATATCTTATCATTGGGTCTTTTTAATCACTCTGGTCATGGTTATTCCAGTGTTTCCTAATTTGTGTAATGGAGTCAGTTCCCTTGTTATGATAACCCATCCTGCATAACTATCTGTGCTAGTTACATAGTGCTTGTCGTCTTTGAGAAAACAGATACTGTGTAGACCAGTGCGTGGTGAACCAGACCCTTGCAGTTTTGTTGTGAGCTGTGGTAAGCTGAGTATCTATAGCCCCACGTTTCAGGACAACGTCGACCACCTCTAGGGCTAAGAAAATTGTTTTATTATTACTGTATTTTATCTTACAAAATATTCCTGACATTGGAATGTATTGTTTGGTGCATAAGCACTGTCATACCAGGAAAGACTACTTTACTGGAAACAGCTGGCCTTCATCCAAGATCAGATGAGTACACAGGCAGTGAAATACAAGGCGCCACCTATGAGCATTTCTGCTCTGGTTCCTTGCCTGACTTTTCTTAAGCTCTGCTTCAACCATACTCTCAAACACTGTAACTTCAAAGTATTGTCAACTGAGCAAGAAGTAGGGTAATTATGGCATTACCTTTAGCCCAAAAATACGAGTAGGCCTACATCATACGAGCTGGAGGCAGTTATTTTTAAAGGGCATTTACCACCAATTTTTTTTGTGTTTACTTTCTTGTCTATCTATAAACCCAATTAATGAGCAAAACCTCTCAAACTAAAATAACAGACTTTACTAATCATACACCGGGCAAACCTATAACACACATGATTAATTACTGAGAGAACGGAACTGATGAAGTTATGAGGAAGTATGACTAAAATTAAAATCCAAATGGTAAGTCGTCGATCTATGGACAGAATGTAAAGGATCATTTGTATTATAAAATAGTGTTTTGAAGTAGCTAGGTTGTAAGTTTTTAATATTCTAAATTTTTAACTTGTTCATCTGGTATTAAACTGAATGGCTGGGAAAATCTCTGACGTATCTCTGCACGAAGTAAAAATATGACCATATGACTCAGATTGCCTACTAAAAGATACTCATCTTAATTGTGGTTGCTCCGCTTCTTTTATCACGTAGGTAACAGCTTGCAAAGCTAAAGCAAATGTCTTTTCATCATTTTCATTGTCGTTTTCACTTTTGAGAGTTTTTTTTTTTTTTTACAGAAAAGCCACGGCATATAGTAGGTTTCAAAGATACATCATTCATGTAATAATCATTTGTAATTGTGAAATAGTAGTCGTTCATACAAGGGTAACTTTTTCAACCGCACCCAAAAATACGCTTGTAAAGCGGCAAAACGTAAAACTCTGCGGCAAAGCGTAAACTCTGAAGAATCTATTGAATGACGTTTTAATCTTAACCTCGGTTAGCCGTCCTAGCTATTACGTCAAACCGCTATAGAACTTAGTACAGCCTCTTTACATTATTATTATTCAATTTAAAAAAAAGGATACGGTGAACTTATTCTGTGATTTATAGGCCTAGAGAATTACTTAATTTACAGAGATTTACTTAATACTATTTTTGTATACAGTAAGGCGCTGCAGTCCAGCCTAAGGGTACAATGCCGTCTTTGGAACTTGGTTCCATGGTCTCCAGCTCCATGTTTTAGCAAGTTTTTGTACACACAATGCCTATATACACATCATTCTATCATTTCAACTGAACGAAAACAAAAATATATACTACAAATAAACATGTCATTTGAGCGCAGGCTTCTTTGGACGACAGCATGGACAGATCTGTCACTGTTAACCGAAAAGCTTAATTTAGGCAGTAGGCTACATCTTCCCCATTAAGTCCACTGCACCAAGGCTGTAACAATGGAGTCAACATTGGGGGGGGCAGGGCGTAATTATAAAATATATTGGGGGAACATTGTGAGCACATTTGAATAATGGGGGGGGAGTGTCTCCCCAGTATATATTATAATTGTGTAGGCCCTTCGCAGAATCCGTGAGCCCTCGCACAGCCATGATGGTGCCGCAGGTGCCCGACCCCCCTCTGGCGGCCATCATGGTGTAGGACACGCGCGACCCCCTTCCGCCCTCCCCGGCCGGAGGCCAGAGCGCCGGCGGAAGTGTCGCCTCACTCATTCAAGATGGCGGCGCTTATCCGGAAGTAAGAAAACGGCTCAGGGCTAGAATTCCTGGTAAAACCGCCACTTTCCGTCGAATAATAAGAAGGAGCAGTGGCGGAACCCGTCCTTCGAAGGCGGCCGAGTCGGATAACCCGTGCGCCGGTCGAGGTGGGTACTTTGCAAGCCTTTCCTCTTAGCCCGACGCGGCTCGTCAGGTCGCTAGCAAACAGCTAGCCCGCTAGCTGCCCGTGTCGGACAGCCGAGTTCGGCGAGTTACCCCGCGCGGTACCGCTGTTTTTCTGTAAATATAGCCATTTGTACAAGCTGTTCAGTTTTATTCTAATTTCTTGGTGGTTATGTGAAGTAGCGGCGGTCGACGCTGCTCAGGTAGTTCGGGGTCTAACTTTTTCTTTGACGTGGTCGCGTCTCACCTGCGAGGCGGCGGCGGCGTTGTCGGCGGTAACGTGGCGCTCACGGAATCACGCCACATTTGTCCTGTAGTTGTGGGTAAAAGTTACCCCCCAAGCCGCCCTTATGCCGAGACGCCGGTGGTGTTGAGTGACAGGGAGCAGTGTGACAGTCCGGCGCATATCGACCTCCCCGGCAGCCAGTCGATGTTGGGATAAGCGCGGAGGGTGAACGATTTTAATGACATTTTATCGTTGAGGGTAATCACTTTATTTCCTTGTCTACTGTACCCGTGTTTCTTAAGTACCAGATCATTTATAATAATAATAATAGTTACTATTATTATTAGTGGTGGTGGTGTTGCTGCCGAACCATACTTTATTTTTTTTTGTCCAGTCAGTAAAAGGCATAATCGACCAATCCATCATTCTTGCCGGTGTTTTCCGCTTGATTTCCTAGTAAATACCCATCCATACACAATTGATAAATGTCGCTTTGCATTTCCTAAAATCCAGGCAAATCGTGGTGATGGTCGTGATCTGTGCAAAATTAGTGTTGTTTTGAGAGATATCGTTATAACTGATATTTTTCCGATTCATTCTGCATATCATACATAACTAATATTATTTGTGTTTTTTTTATTGCGTGTTTGCTTCTAGGTTTCCACCACATGTTAAGTAAACGAGGCATTAATGTGATTTGATACGTAAAGGGGTTTTACACCCGCAAAAGGTCAATATTTTTTTTTATGCGCGAGGAGACCGTAAGCTGATTTAGTTTATATTATCTGCAGGATATTTTAATGGATGAAATCTGTAAAGTAGCCCAAATTGGGAAGGATTCATTACGAAACTGCAGTTTACTCGGTATATGCTCAGTGTTAATGTATTTAAATACATTTTATCAAAAGTACAGTCATCTTTACAGTTCTGCTAGATGAAAGTCAATATTATGATGGAAAATTGCTTCTGAACAATAAGCTGGAACAATTATCAGAAGTAATTTTCAGCTTGAACGTCAAGGTTTTGGTTATCTTCTACAAGCAAACTATAACCGACTGAGAAGATGCAAATGTATGATAGACTGTAGAAAAAGCTTCAGGCTTCTTTCTCATGAAGATGAAGATTTTCTAGCTAAAGAAAAAATGTGAAATATCCTCCATATGTTGTCCTTTTTTTTTTCTTTCTAAAATGTAAGTGACCTTGGCGTACGCCTTTGTGTCTTGCTGTGTTTCGCTTTCCGTGTTTTCCTGCTCCTTTTGTCGGATAGGCGGATCCCCACATGGTCATTCTTCTAACATTGAACTTCCATTCAAGTTATGTTTCCGGTTGTAGGCATACAAGACGGACTGGGATGTGCCTCTGGTCACACCTGCGTGAGATACCCAGATCGACTGTCAGTGAAAAGCTCTGTGGAGGCCAGCGACTATGTCACGCAGTGCTGGGCTTGCCTGTACTTGCGGGTGTGGGTGTAGTGTGGAAGCTGTGTGTGTGCTTTTCCCCCCGCTTGCTTTCTTTGGTCACAGCTTACTTTGTGCTGCTGCCTTGGGCTTCAGCTCAGCTGCGGTGATCCAAGTTTCAGACTTGTTGGGGTTCGTGATGACGGGGGGGGGGGAGGGGGGCTTGTTTTGCTTATGACTTGTGCTTGCCCGTGGTGGCATGATGTTTTATTTTCACCTCAGCCCAAGCCACTGTTTTCTGTTGGGGGAGGGGGGGTGTTCTGTTTTGAATTACATTAAATGAAGTGCCATGTCATTAAAAAATCTTTTCCCTACTGCTTATTTAAACATCCCCCTCCATACCCCCCCCAAGCGGGCAAGCAGGAGAGGAGGGTAGGAAAGAAGCTCGGGACAAGTTGTTATGACCTGTTTTTTCAGTTCAGTCATTTCCTCCACCATTGGATTCCATTTGTTATTTGTGCAGTGAACGGACCCAGTATGTCAGGTCCTGTGCACTGCAAAGCAGCATCAGCTTCATGCCTGAGGGGCAGCCTTATTCTGGGTGTTTGCTGTTCAAACTGGAAATTGTTCAGCTACGGTTTAAACTGATAGGCTTGTCAGTTAAGGTGACCTCGCCATGTAAATTGACAGGATAATATTAATAACCTTACTGGCCTCAGGGGAGGCTGCCTGAGCATTTCTGTGAAAGATGTCTTGTGAACGACGTCATCACAGAAGTCGAAGTAAACCGAAAGCGAAGCTCTGTCCATGGCCACGCTCACTTAATTTGTTGAGAGACGCATTACAGTCTTAAAAGTCAGTCATTGGCATGACGAATGGGCAGAAAGGGGTCTTCGTTTCATTGAAATCATGCTTCGCCGCTCTATCTCTCTCTATTTTTTCCTGCCTCCTCACATGGGCACCTTCTCGCCGGCCGGGCCTGTGCGTAAATGAGCACGCAGCCGGCATTGCCTGGGCCGGGCCGGTGCGTAAATGAGCACGCAGCCGGCATTGCCTGGGCCGGGCCGGTGCGTGAATGAGCACGCAGCCGGCATTGCCTGGGCCGGGCCTGTGCGTAAATGAGCACGCAGCCGGCATTGCCTGAGGCCCGGGCCGGTGCGTAAATGAGCACGCAGCCGGCATTGCCTGAGGCTGGTGACGAGCCCGTCTGCCTTTTGATTTCACCGTCCCATCTGTGCCGCGTCCTTTTCTCTTGATACTCTCTCCACCTCAAGCGGCCGGGTGATAAATTTCATTTATGGCTTCTAGGCTGATTGGACAAAGAGAGAAAAATTCCTAAAATGGAGCATGGGGGGTTGTGGGGGGGGGGGGATTGGGGGGTCAGGATTGGGTTATGGTCTCAACTACATTTCTGCCTTCCTGGAATCCCCGTGTTCATTAGGTAATGGTTCATGTATTAAACATAAACTGACCCCCCCCCCCCCCAAAAAAAAAAGAAAGAAAGATGGCTCCGTAGAAAAAAGGGTTACTGTTGCTATTTTTAATAAGACAGTGATTTCTTTGTTCAGTGCATAAAATGTATTTTTTCTTTGTTCTGAGAAAATGAATGTTAACAAAAGGTCTGTGTACAATAATTTTTAAAAATCTGAAAGTCTGTAGTAAACCTTTGGATCAGATTCCAGGTTTAAATTCCCATACCTTTTGCAGACATTAGTTTTGGTGTATGCTGAGAGCATTACGTAAATAATTCAGATAGATTCAGATAGTTCAGATTAGATGTGGGGTGCGAATGCACACACGATGGTCGCATGCTAATTGCTTTCAAATGAGGCTTTTGACGCCTGGATTTGTGGTTTCGGGTGTAATACCAGATGTGCTGCATAGTAGAGGACCGATGTGTTTCTGTGTGTAAGGAGACAGGAAAGTCACTCTTCTTTTTGTCAAACGTTAATTGAGAGCAGTAACGACGTGGGGCGGGAAGAGAGGTGGTTGCTGGGAAGTCAGCTTTGGTTCTTAAAAATGGCCCTTGTCAGTTTTCCCCCGGTTTGGAAGGACACCCAGCTGAGATGACACATTAGCCTGACTCAGAACATCACGTCCTGAACTGCGTTTGTACTGATACCAGGACTTTGTTTTTCCTCCATGTCAACTCCTGCGCTGATTATTCTGCATTTATTCATTTTAAAACCTTGTTGCAGATTTACATATCAATGTCAGTAGTGTCTGTTGTATTTTTCTTTCTTTTCTTTTTTTTTTAATATTGTCAGCTGTTTTGTGAACGTCGCAAGACCGACTTTAAATATATTTTCTCTCAGTTAGGGAATACTGCCAGTGCTGAGAGGTGTTCACGTCACTGTCATGTCATTCTCTCATTTCATTCACTGCCAGACCTGTAGATGCACCAGTGGTGAATAAGTGTGCTAAATTTGACTAGTCTGATTGGAACTTCCGAACATGGGCTCTCATGTCCTGACTCGGAATCCTAATTCTATCTGTTTCTGTCTCGATGTGTTTACATTTTACTTTGGGACTATGTCCCTTTTTTCCCCTTTCTATTTTAAAATTTTTGGTTAATGTAGGACAGTATTTCCTTTTTGTGTTTGGTGTTGCAGTTGTTTTTTCTTGTTTGAGTGCATGCTGTGAGGCAGCAAGAGCTCAGGAAACCTCAACATTTATGCGCTTCTCCTGTTTATGATACTTAGCTATAAGCAATGTGCACAAGGGTTTCACCATGACTTACTTTCCAAGATTTTATGGGTGCTTCCTTTTAGCCCCTGCTTTTCAGTGGTATCTTGCTGCACGGCTTTCAGTGTTTGATCAAAAATGTTCTGGAAATTTTCACATGGGGACCGAGATGTTCGCAAAAATTTTATTTCGAAGTCGTCATTAAAACTGCAAACGCAATTAGAAACCATTATAAACCAAACAAGGCAATATGTCTGACGTGTCCAAATAACAAAACCTGAGAGAAGCTTATTTGTAAACCGTAAAATAAAAAATCAAAAGTCTGCATCATGACAACCATAAAGAACTAAATCCTTTGTTCTTTTGTGTATCTGTAGCAATAAACACTCTATAGCCGTAGTCATTTTTTTAGCCGGTCTGAATTTCCTGGCAAAAGCAAAGCAGCTAGAATGCTATGGGGAGAGTAACTTGCAGAGGTGGTTTCTTATTACAGTCTTGGTCTTATCAACTGCGCTCCCCCTGGTGTCGGTGCAATCTATCAGGAAACCGAAATGTTCTTTAACTACTGATTTACGTGACGTGGGAGGGTCTTTGAACACTCCGACACTAGTCGTAACCAACCCACAGCCACAATCACAAGTAGATCTACTTGTGAATTTAGGTTTCGCCAATGTCA